TGCAGGGTGAAAGGCCCTTCCTTTCTTGTCTACCTGGGTCTGAGGTTATTGTGTGTTCAATTGGAGGCCTGATACCTGAGGGTGGGCTACAAAGCAGTGCCCATAGCCAAGCCTCCCTATGTCCTTACAGCCCTCTGCCCAAGTCTCAGCTTCCACAAACCACATGCATCCAGTTGGTGTCCCTTGAATGATGAATTTTTAAATAAACACAATAAAAGCAGCAATATCAAATGAGGATAATCATGACTGAGCCTTCCCTGGGGCTTCCAAAATAGCTCTGTACATTAACTCTAAGTCGAGACATAATCTGAACCACATCACTTCCTAGGGAAGAGTTTTCTGCTTCCCACGTTGAGCTGTGGTTTTGCTGGTCATTCTCTGGGGCTCCAGAGCTGGTCCCCACCTCTATATCCCCCAAGGGTGATGCCCCGATTCTGCCTTGAGGCTTGAGCAAGGGGAGGCCTTGTATCTGTGAGTTCACTAAAATGATTCTGTTTTCCAGAGAGCTGTAGTGCAACCAGAGAGTGGAGAGGTACTGATGATGCCCTTGAAGCCTTTTAGGGGTGTCTAGAATTTGGAATTAAGACTCTTGGTTGCAGATAATAGACCTAACTCAAAAAGGCTTGAACAAAAAAAATGGATTTTGTAGAATTTATAGAGTTGACTTCAGGTTGTGTGGAGCCAAATATTCTTTTTTTTTTTTTTTTTTTTTTGGACAGACAGAGTTAGACAGAGAGAGACAGAGAGAGAGGTCTTCCTTTTTCTGTTGGTTCATCCCCCAAGTGGCCGCTATGGCCAGCGCGCTGCGCCAATCCGAAGCCAGGAGCCAGGTGCTTCCTCCTGGTCTCCCATGCAGGTGCAGGGCCCAAGCACCTGGGCCATCCTCCACTGCACTCCTGGGCAGAGAGCTGGACTGGAAGAGGGGCAACCGGGACAGAATCCGGCGCCCCAACCGGGGCTAGAACCCAGGGTGCTGGCGCTGCTAGGTGGAGGATTAGCCTAGTGAGCCGTGGTGCCAGCGCCAAATATTCTAACTATAATATAAGGCCCTATCCCTTCTCACTGTCAAATCTGCTTTTTGTCAGGAAACTACGAGTTTCTCCCAAGAGATGGCTAAGGTGGTTTCCACAGCTCCAGCCTTTGATTCTGGCACAGAGCCAGTCCTGCAAAAAGCCGATATTTCTATGCAGTAGCTTCAGTAAAGTCCCTGCCTGGACCCTGATGGGCAGGTCTGAGTCATGGGAACATGCTCCTGGAGCCAGAGGCAGGGCCGACCCTTCCAGAAGCACATGGACTGAGTTGGGGACGGAGGGACAAGTGTCCAGTCAACGATTCCTGCACCAACACTGCCCAAGGTGGGCTTTCTCAGCTGCAGAGCCAGGCCTTGCAGGGCTGTCCCTGCAGGGTGCTGTGTGGGGAGGGGCAGCCTGGAGGACATTTTCTTCCCAAATTGCATTTCTTCTGTGCTTTGAAATGCATTCATTTAGATGTGGTCTTTATTTTCTTCATTTTCGGCTATCTTTTGCATGTTCTATATTCCGAACATAGCTTGATAGTTTTTAATAAGAAAGGCGAATACACGTGGCAATGAATTTAAAATGTTATTAAAAATGTAAAGCAGTCATGTCAGAGACTGAAGAGAGCCAGTGTCTGCTCACACTGTGTACCTGTGAATAGCACGAGCACATGGTTGAGAGCTCCCGTTTTTGAATCCCTACTCCAGTTCTCATTTCAGAAAATAGAGAAAAGCAAAATGAACAAGAAGCCTTCTAGTTCAGTGGGGAAACAGGCACATGTCTAGTTGCTCTGTCTCTCCAGACCTCAGCAAATGGGGAGAAGGTATCCAAAGAGGGGTGAGGGAGTCTGTAAACATGAGAAAAAGTTCTGAAAATTCAAAGTGAGGGATAGTCATAAAGATAACAGAACAGTGTGCTTCATAATAGATGAGCCAGGGCCGGCGCCATGGCTTACTTGGTTAATCCTCTGCCTGTGGTGCTGGCATCCCATATGTGTGCCGGGTTCGAGTCCCGGTTGCTCCTCTTCCAGTCCAGCTCTCTGCTGTGGCCTGGGAAGGCAGTGGAGGATGGCCCAAGTGCTTGGACCCTGCACCTGCATGGGAGACCTGGAAGAGGCTTCTGGCTCCTGGCTTCAGATCAGCTCAGCTCTGGCTATTGTGGCCATTTAGGGAGTGAACCAGCAGATGGAAGACCTCTCTCTCTGTCTCTCTCTCTAACTCTGCCTGTCAAAAAATAAAATAAAATAGATGAGCCAGGACTCTTTGGAAGATTCAATTTTGAGTTGCTTGTTTCAGACAGGTTTGGCTTGTGATGTATTTTTCAGAAAGATAATTTAATGGATGTGTGACAGCAGTGATGTTTCATGGGTCGCCTCCCTTCCTCATTTAACAAAACAAATTGCCAGTTGACTTACGAATGATTTGTCTTAGGCCAAAAATGGAAATAGGTTCCCTGTAGATGTTAGCAGAGATGGGTGGTAGGTTGATGTCTTTGCATGAGAAAGAACTCAGATGTGAGACAGAATCATGGTGAGCGAGGGGTCGGGCATCTGTCAGAACGGATGGGACAGTATATGAGAAAGTGCCCCGGCCCTCAGACTGGGGAAAGCAAGGTTGCATGGTTCAATGGAGAGAATGCACCTGGCAGGCCAGGCAGATGGCTCGGCAGACCCCCGAGTGCTGGGTGTTTGTGCAGACTGGGGCTTATAAGGGAGAGGGGTCCAGTTCTTCCCACTTTTCCTCCTTCCCCTCCTCCTCCTCCTCCTCCTCCTCCTCTAGGACAGAGTTTGCTGAGTGTGAATTGGGTGAAATCCCACCCAAGGTTTCACGGAGCACTGTCAGACTGGAGGGCCTGCTTGGTGGCCAGCAGAGGAGCCTCCCCCAGGGGCCCTGCCTTGGGGGAAGGACAGTGTTATCAGGCCAGACAGCCCAGGAGTGCAGAGCAGAGAGGACTCTCCTGGGGAGCTTTCCTTGGGGGCAAGGCCGAGACCACCTGTAAAGGAACTGGGGTCTGGGTAACTCATGCTAGTTACTTTTCTTAATTAACCAGGCCCTTTGTTTAAAAAAAAAATGAATAGACGATCAGGGATAACCAGACAGTTGAAACAGCTCAATAACCTAAGAAGGAATGACCAAGCAACAATTTCTAAAGGTCAAATCAAGATAATCCAAAGTACTGAAAATAATTCAGATTCCAATTAAAAGTCAATCATGATCTAAAAGAAACTTCTCCATACTATGGACTGTTGTGACGTGAAAGGTAAGCAGAGGATAAGCACTCAAAAACTGTGCTGACCTGGTATTCCTATGGGATGTCTGTGGAGTTACAGCAGCAGCTTACCCTACTGTGCCACAACACTGGCCCCTGGGACCCCTTTTGAGTTGCCTTTCTTAGTTTGGGAGAGTTTTCCTGTGTTCAATCTTTGACTTCTTTTTCCTCCTCTCCCTTTTTCTCTTCTCTCCCTTTACGGATTTGTGTTAGATGCTGAACCTCCTCCACGGATCCTGCAGGTCTTTTTCTTCTCATAGGTCCTATCTTCTTGGCTGCTGTTTCTATATTCAGGAAATTTTATATTGACTTTAATGTTTAGACCTTCTGTTAAGTGTTTACTCCATTTTCTGTTCCCGGGGCATTTTTGTCCTCCGAGTACTTATATTTCACATCACACTAGCCTGTTGTGTCTTTCAAATCACTATTAATTGGAATCTTGGGTTATTTTCAGTTCTTTGAATGATGTATACTGGACTTTCGTAACTTGTCCTTTTCGGATCTGGGTACTTTCTTCCTGTGCCCCTGGGCTGTTTCAGATGGCTGGTGAACTTTGTTATCTCTTCATGATTTAAAAAAAAGACTTGATTGGTTAACAAAGGTAACGAGCCTCCTCTGCCTCTGGACAGGTTAGAATTCCCAGTGAACCTCTGTTTTTTGAAAGGAAACCGGAGGTGGGACACTGCCTCAGAAAAGCTGCCATCTGGGACATGTGGGTGGGATCAGGGGGGTGGGCATGGCCGGGGGTGGGGATGCTCCCTAGGGCCTTGCTGCACTGTCACCTCCACAGTGCATCCCAGCTCTTGCTTCCTGCAGGACAGTGCCTTCTGTCACCTCCATGTCACCATTCACTTCACAGTGTTCCAGACACTTGTCAAAATGTGTGATTCCATTTCACTCTTTCATAAACTGGGGCCTGGAGAGGAAGAGCAGCTAACTGTGCTGTTTGTCCCTGGAATCGGCGGTCTTTATCTTCATTGCGTTTTTCTGCATGTGTAGTATTACACCCATAATTGTGACAACAGCAACGAAAACTATTCTGCAAGTGGGAAGTCTGGAGAGATTTGTTCTCATCAGGCATTAAAGAAAAGGATCTTGACAATGATTAGGACCAATGATTGTGGCACTGACCATGAAACCACTTTCCGTGGTGCTTCAGGCTGATTCTAAAAGAGCCTGGAGAATTTTGCTGTCTGACTTGTGCTCTTTGTTTACCCAAGCTTGATTAAAAATGTCCTTCATGCTAAAGAGTGTCAGATACAAAGCCTCCTATTAAACAGACACATCAGTTCATCTCTGCCGTACAATAAACCACCTCCAAATGGAATATCTTAGAATAGTAAGCATGTATTAGCGTGCTCTTTGGACTCGGGTTGGATGAGCCTGCTGGTCTTGCCTGGGGTCAACTGGCAGAGTGTGGCCTCCCCCTGTTGGCCAGGGCAGGGCGGGGGTGATTGGGCTGTGCATGTATCTCATCACACAGCCGGCTCAGCTAGGCTCGCTCACCTGCCGATGGGTTGCAGCAGGGAAGGAAACCGCAGGATTCAGGACTCACCCAGCACCACTTCCACCACTGCACATGGCCCAGAGCTCAGCCCAGAGTTCAAGGGTGGAGAAATAAACCCCACAGCTCGATGGGAAGGAGCTGCAACGCGGGTTGCCAATCACTGTTGGACACTCGTAACGTTCTGTCCTGTGATTCTGTCCGTCGCTCAGGCTTCTGAGAACACAGTCTCTCGAATGGTTCTACAACAACGTGAAGAGCCGCTTCAAGCGCTTCGGCAGCGCCAAGGTCCTGAAGAACCTGTACCGGAAACACCGGCTGGAGAGCGGCGCGTGCTTTGACCTTCTCGGTAGGTACTCTGTGGCTCGGGGGGACTTGGTGGGCGGAGCGAGGAGAGGAAAGCCTGGGTTATGGGGGAGACAGGCCCTGTCTGTTGGGGCGCACACACGTGGGGCAGAGACGTTTGCCTAGATATCTTGAAGAGCAGAGGGACGGATGCCAGGAACTCAAGTTCTGACTCTTGGTTCCCGCATCCCTTTGAACCAGAGCTCATACGTTAGGGACAGAGAAGACCAATATCTCTGCAAGCTGTGAGTGTTTTAATTCTGGATCCTTTCAAGTGAGAGATTCTTGGTCATCCCTTACGGATTAAAACGTTGGAAAGTCATTTTCCTTTGGTTGCAGAGAGATGAGGTCTGCGCTCGCAGGATGTGTGTCCTCTGCTCCCCTCTCTTCCTACCAAATTCTGTTCTTCCCAGGTTCAGTGTTTGATGGAATGGGAGGTTCAGGAAGGCACCGGCTTCCTGCCAAAAAAAAGTTGAAGGATTTTGCCATTTTGCCAATACTATTAAAATACAGCCAAAACCACAAATTAACTAGATTGAGAAATTGTATTATTCGGTCCTGTTAGACCAGCTAGTACAAAGAAATGGTTGTCAGAATATGAACACCATGTCTTCCAAAGAAGCGTGATTTTTTTTTCTGTGTAGAGATAGGTTTTTTTCATCCCCTTGCTGACACAGATGAATGCTTTTTATCCGTGAGAAACAAGAAAGAAAAAATATCTCATCCATATCATTTGTAGCTTTTTCACCATCATTATTTTACGCTGTTGTATTCTCTGAAAGTCGTTAGTTGTATCTTATGGAAAACCATGCCAGCCACTTAGACAATGGGAAAATAGGGTGGAAGCATTAAAGACAGAACATCATTAGGGCTTTTTGTGGTGGTTGTTAGAGTCTGTCTTTCAAACTACTCCGGGAGCCTGTAGCTAAGAGAGCAGTGCCGGAGGTTGCCACATATTATTTTTATCTTCTCTCTACTGAGTTTCCTACATTTTTTTTTTTTTGGTCTAGGAGTGAAGGCAAAAAAGAAATAAAGGTTAAAAGTAACACAACCATCATTTCTTGACCCCAAGAGCTATCCCATGAGGGTTCTAGAATAGAATCTGCTCATTCATCTGTATCCCATCTTTCTTTGCTGTGTTGTGCTTCCATGGGTCTATTTTATTTACCCCTTTAAATATCCCCAAATGTGGGACATGCTCAATCGGACTTGCCCCAAATGGTGGAGTTAGAAATGTGCCAGGGGATTCCAATACAATCCCATCAAGGTGGCATGTACCAATGCCATCTCACTAGTCAAAGTGATCAATTTCAGTTCACAGTTGATCACACTGAGAGGTCTAAGAGTCAAAGGGATCACACATACAAGACTAGTGTCTGCTAATACTAACTGATAGAATCAAAAAGGGAGAGAACGATCCAACATGGGAAGCGGGATACACAGCAGACTCATAGAATGGCAGATGTCCTAAACAGCACTCTGGCCTCAGAATCAGCCCTTAAGGCATTCGGATCTGGCTGAAGAGTCCATGAGAGTATTTTAGCATGGAAAGTCAAGACACTCTGGCTAAGAAAAAAATAACAAAAAAAAACTAAATGGAAATGAAAGATCTCTGCGAGTGAGATCCCAGTGGAAAGAATGGGTCATCAAAGAAGGAGGTACCTTTCTCTGAAGGGAGGAGAGAACTTCCACTTTGACTATGACCCTGTCGGAATAAGATCAAAGTCGGCAAACTCAAAAGGCTTCCATAGCCTTGGCAACTCATGACTAGAGACTAGGGAGATTACTGACACCATAAACAAGAGTGTCAAATTGTTAAGTCAACAACAGGGGTCACTGTGTACTTACTCCTCATGTGGGATCTTTCCTTAATGTGTTGTCCAATGTGAAGTAATGCTATAACTAGTACTCAAACAGTATTTTACACTTTCTGTGTGGGTGCAAACTGATGAAATCTTTACTTAATATATACTAAATTGATCTTCCATATATAAAGAGAATTGAAAATGAATCTTGATGTGAATGGAATGGGAGAGGGAGCGGGAGATGGGAGGGGTGCGAGTGGGAGGGAAATTATGGGGGGGGAAGCCATTGTAATCCATAAACTGTACTTTGAAAATTTATATTTACTAAATAAAAGTTAAATATATCCCCAAATTCAAATCTTAGAGGCATCTTCTACCACTTGATGCACATTGAGGGAGAAAGCAAATGTGTGGAGGATCCTATAGAGCCGAGCACTATACTGATTTCTCTCCCTTTCTTCCTAAGGCCCCACAGGTAGAAGTGGACAAGAATCCCAAGTGGGCTGGTGCAGGGCTTTGACATGTACAAGTGTCCTTTTCAAAGGAGAACCAGTTGCTGGGGCCAAGCACCTGCCACAGTTGAAGTTGACTGAGGTGCTGAGTCCCTGTGACTCACACTTGTTTAATCTGAGCCTCAGTAGCAGCACGTACCACGCTGCATCCAGGTGATGCCTCACAAGGCCACATCTCCAGCCAGTCCCTGATGTGCAGGTGGTAGCTTCTCCATCTCTGTGTTCCCAAAACAAGGATCCGTGCCTGGCACATCATGCCTTCTCACTACTGCAGTAGTTCCATCTGAAACGCACCTTGTGAATTCCAAGACATTTTCTAAAAGTGCATATTATAATCAGTTGCTTCAGTATGATGGTATCTCCATGTAAACAACGGTTTCCTTTTGATAAACATGAAGACAAGCAGATAGGCATCAATTTATGAGATGATACCCAAGCCTAAATCCACAATCACCAGACAATGTTTTAACGTGCACACCTTGTCCTGCCATCTGTCCCTCCCAAGCTAGCCTCACTCTTCTCCCTTGGCCCATATCAGGTGCTAGATTAGGCCTAAAAAAGGAGACTCATTGTTTTTCCAGATAGGTCTCAGATTTGTCCATTTCTTTAGTAAACAGTTTTTGAACACCACCTGTGTAAAAAAGTTGAGGAGGTGCTGGGCTACCCCCTGCCATCGCAAAGCCAGCATTCCAGTAAAGAAATCAGATTCCTAAGTAACCACATTTATAAGTAACATAGTGTCCAATGGCATTGAGTAATTCCATGCCCATCTAATGGAGCCAGCATGACATTTTTAAGTTATCCTAAAAAGAAGCACTACATGAAAATCTAAAAGTAGCCGTTATTAACATACTTAGTCTTGAAACCATTGGAAAAATAGTATGTGCTTCTATTTCATATTGGATAAATACGATGGGGAAAGCAAACCCTGTTGCACATATTAGTACTGTGTCTATTTTTGACATGATTATTGGAAAGGTCTCTTGCATCTTTCATCTGGGATTTGATTGACGCATGTGAACTTTTGAGAGAGCTGGATTACATGAAATCAGAGGTTCGTCCAAGTCATGAGAAGCAGTGACTCAGCGTCCTCTGGCTGCTGACTCATTGTGCTCCCTAACAATTGCTGTCTGCCCTTGGAGAGAATCACATCGTCCTAAATGACACGGATGCTCCCACCGATGCATTTAAAGAGAAACAGAGGGCCAGACATTGTGTAGACAGTCTTGATTTCAAGTCTTGAAAAACAGGAGCTTGTCCCCTGATGAGCCCAGTCCTGTGGCAAGCTCACACACATTTTAATATAATCTCTCCTCAAATTCTGCAGTTTCCTCGTTTTCTCAGTGGAGTACCTCGCCTTCCTCTGCACATGTCAGACAGGCTACCTGAGGCTGCAGTTGGGGCACCATCCCCCTACTCTGTCTACTGCCCCTCCTCTCGTTCTTTGCATATAATTCCTGTCACCTTCCAGGAAGGTCTCAAGGTCACTCTGTCTTGCCTATCCAACCCGTGTCTTAAACAGATCCTTCCTGGTGGTTTCTAAGCACACCTGAGTCTCTCCCAATTCCTAAATTGTATGTTTCTCCACTCATTGCTCTGCCCATCTCAGCACAAGCCAACTCCAGAGAGTGGGCGGCACTTGGAGCTTTCGTGTCCTGTCCCCCCTCACTCCCCATCTCCCCCTTTTCCTTCCAAGCTCTTCTCTACACAGTAGCCATGACACACCTGTGGAGGCACAAATCTGATCCCTCTCTGGGACTCCTCATTGCCTCTTCTATAAATCCTTGGATGCGACCTGTTCTCCCATTGCCCATCCCTGTGCAAGCCACTTGCTAAGCTCTGTACTCTAACCTCCTGGCAGCCCCTTGATTGCATCCTCACTGGCTAGATCAGTCTTCCCCACTGAACATTTTAACTGTACTGAGAACTATGCCGTATGACTCCTGTTTTTCTGGAAACTGTTAGATAAGGAAACTTGCTCAGAGTCACACAATTAGAAAGATGCCTGTCAAGGAACTGATCTCACACTCTCTCTTTCTTTGACCTCTCCGTTACCTCCAAAGAAGGTATCTTAGACCATTTTGTATTGCTGGACCAGAACATCTTGAGATTGGGTCATTTATAAACAGTAGAAGTTTATTGGGCTCTTGAGTTCTAAGGGCTAGAAGGTCCAAGAGCATGGCCAAGGTCATCTTGCCACGTTATCCCTAGGCAGAAGGACAGGAGAGCATAGACAAGAGGCCGAGAGAGCAAGAAGGGGCCACTTTTGTTTCAAGCTCACTCTCCTAATAACTAGCCCACTCCAGAGAAAACACGTTAATACATTCGTGGAGCAGAGCTCTCGAGACTTAATCACTTGGTGTTGGTTTCCACCTCCCAGCATTGTTGCCTAGGGAATTAGCGTTCAGCATGAGTTTGGGAGGCAATAAACATTCACGTCACAGCAGAAGGTACTGGAAGAGAGTTACAGGAGACAGAATGCTTCACCAGGAATTATTGTGAGAGGGAGGAAATATGTACAAGATGACAGCCTTATTGTGGTGGATCCCGTGATTCTCTAAATCCACTTGCAAGGCTAACATAATCCAAGTGAGTACTGGTGGTTTGCCAATGCGATGATGTCCCCTATAAACCTTTTATTCTCTCTGTCTCCCTCTCATTCTAGGAGGAGGATTGTTTGAGTCAAATCTGGAGACTGAAGGAAGCGTTTCAGGAAGTGACTCAACATTTTATAGGCAGTCGGAAGGTAAGGTTGCTGGTGTTGATAGCTACTGGGAAGTTGGAGGAAAAAAAAAACCTTCAGAGTCTCCCAGATCACTTCTTACTCCTGGATGCAAATACACACACACACACCACACACAATGTGGCCTGGAAAACTATTCACTACCCAACTCTTTGATGATCAACTGGCATTGAAACTTAATAATCAGTCCTCTGATTTGTGCATCTCCTTCTAAAATATTCCTAGAAATAATTAATCCATTTATTGGTTAACTTATACTTCTCTATAATAAGGATTTTATTTATTTATTTGTGAGATAGAGTTACAGAGAGGGAGAGAGAGCGAAAGGTCTTCCATCTGCTGGTTCACTCCTCAAATGGCCACAATGGCCGGAACTGGGCTGATCTGAAGCCAGGAGCTTCTTCCAGGTCTCCCATATGGGTGCAGGGGCCCAAGGACTTGGGTCATCTGCTGCTTTCCCAGGCCATAGCAGAGAGCTGGATCAGAAGAGGAACAGCTGGGACATGAACCAGCACCTATACTGGATGCTGGCGCTATGTACATAAGCTTAGCCTACTACACCACAGCACAAGGCCAACTTGTTTTTTTTTTTTTTTATACCAATAAAATAGTCCCCTTAGAGCAGTGGTTAAAAGCAAAACAGACTTCTAATTTCAAGGAAAAACTGCTGAAGCACTTCAACTCCTTCTCTAAAAAGCTTGACGTTGGCAAGCCGTGCCTTCTAGATAACTCACCCGTGTCTCCAACAATTCTTGCTCTGGGTGTTGGGATGCTTAATCTTATGTGTCAACTTGACTGCCCTAAAGGATGCCCAATGGCTAGTAAAGAACGATTTGTGGGTGTGTCTGTGAGGGTGTTTCTAGAGGAGATTAGTGTCTGAGTTAGTTAAGAATATCTGCTCTTACCCATGTGGGTAGATACCAGCAATTCTTGAGGGTCCAGATAGAACAAAAAGGCAAAGGAAGTACAGATTCCTTCTTTATCTTCCAAACTTGACACAGCCATCCTCTCCTGCCCTGCATTTCCACTTCCTTGAACATTATTTAAAAATTCTTGATGAGCATATATATATATATGAATATGTAGTGATCAATCAGGATAGTTAACGTTTCCATCTCCTTACTGTTACTTTATGCTTGTACACTCCTCTCTTCTACTCATTCATAAACCATGGAGTAGCTTCCTGTGAACTATGTCTGCCTGCGATATGTAGAATACTAGATCCTACTCCTTCCATGTAACTGGGTACCCATTGGGCAACCTTCGCTCTCCTCCATGTCCCACAGTCTTTCCTACTTTCTAGCAGCCACTACTTTATATTCACATTCACTTTTTTTTGCATCCATGTATCAGTATTTTTCTTTCTGTGTCTTAGCTACTTCACTCAGCTCACTGTCCTGCCACCTATCCATGCTGCTGCAAGTGATCGCATACGTTCCTTTTGTGGTTGTGTAATACGTCACTGTGTGTGCACACCACAGTTTCTTTATCCACTCATCCATTGATAAGCATAGACATTAATTCTACATCTTAGCCATTGTGATAGTGCAGCAACAAACATGGGAATAGAAGTATCGATTCACTATGCTTATTTCCTTTCCTTTGGATGCTACTCAAATCTTGGATAACTGGATCCTATGTTAGATCTGGTTTTTAATTTGAAAGGCAAAGTTACAGAGAGGGAGAGAGGAAGAGACAGAGGATCTTCATCCACTGGTTTGCTCCTGTTCTTTGTCTTTTTGAATTTTTTAATTTGAAAGGCAGAGAAAGAGACAGAGAATCTTCCATCCAGTGGTTCATTCCTTAGTTGGCTGCAATGGCCGGGACTAGGGCAGGCTACAGCCTGGAGCCAGCAGCCTCTTACAGGTCACCCACGTAGGTCCAGGGGCCCAAGCACTTCGGCCAGCTTCCACTACTTTCCCTACCGTTAACAAGGAGCTGGATCGGAAGTGGAGCAGCTGAGACTGGAACCGGTGGCCATATTGGATGCCAGCACTGCAGATGACGGCTTAACCCACTGAGCCACAGCACCAGCCCCATTGTGTTGTTTTGTTTTGAAGCAGCCTCCTACTGTTCTCCACAATGGCTATGCTAACTTAAAGTCCCACCAGTAGTGCATAAAGAGTTCCCTTTTCCAGGCTGACGCTGTGGTGTAGAGGGAGTCACCGCCTGCAGTGCCAGCATCCCACATGGCCACCGGTTTGAGTCCTGGCTGCTCCACTTCTGCTCCGGATCTCTTCTATGGCCTGGGAAAGCAGTAGAAAATGACCCAGGTCCTTGGGCCCCTGCACCCATATGGGAGACTTTGGAGGAAGCTCCTGGCTCCTGGCTTCAGATCAGCCCAGCTTTAGCTATTGCAGCCATTTGGGGAATGAATCAGTGGATGGAGGATCATTCTCCTCTCTCTCTCTGTCTTTGAAATAAATAGATCATTATTTTAAAAAAAAAAAAAAAAGCTCCCTTTTCTTCATGCTCTTTCCAGTATTTTTTTTTACTTATTTTTTAAGATTTATTTATATGTAACTCTGCCTTTCAAAATAAATATATAGAGAGATCTTCCATCCACTGGTTCACTCCCCAGATGACCACAATGGCCACAGCTGGGCTGATTTGAAGCCAGGAGTTTCTTCTAGGTCTCCACACAGGTGCAGGGACCCGAGGACTTGGGCCATCCTTCACTGCTTTCCTAGGCCACAGCAGAGAGCTGGATCAGAAGAGGAGCAGCCAGGACTCGTACTGCTGCCCATATAGGATGCTGGTGCTGCCTGCAAAGGCTGAGCCTACTATACCCAGCGCCGGCCCCTTGTATTTGCTTTTAACCAGTATCACAGCCCAGTATTCTTAGGACATTTAATAACTTGTATCCCTGTCATCACAAGGACACATTATGTGAAAACAAAAATAATGTCTGTCTGACAAATTGGATAAAGAACCATTGTTTCCTTGTATTGGACCCTTAAGCTGTTACTTTGTTAAGCCACCGTGTGTGCTCGGATCTGTCCTTAGTGTCAGGATGCAACAATGGATGCAGCCAGATCCTGCTGAGAATGACCTATGGGAGGGGGACAGGGGGTGGAGTCTGTCCGGCTCCAGAGGAAGCAAACCCAGGACCCTGGATGGACATCAAGGCACTGGGGTGATTGAAGGGATCAAGGAGGAACCCTGGGTTGAGCTTTAGGGTCCCCAGAACCAGGAGCAGGAGACCATGGGCCCACGGTGACGGAGTCATGCCAAGAGAGCCGGTAGCTCTCAGGATTCCTGAATAACTCTACAGTGCACACGGTGTGAATGATGCGTGGGGACAGAGCGGGTAGGTGGGACAGCAGGGAGCTCTGTGCGCCCCCCTGAGCAGTGTGCCTCTCACCCTGGAGCCCCTGAAGGACTGGGGCGGAGGAGCTGCAGGTGGACCAGTCGGTGTGTGCCTGCTTCCCTTGTAGACCTTACTCTGTGTTCTGTTTCCCGTGCAGGACACAGCATGATGGACACCTTGGCTGTCGCCCTGAGGGTGGCTGAAGAAGCCATTGAGGAAGCCATCTCCAAAGCAGAATCCTACGGGGACAGCCTGGTAGGGCCTCCCCTTGGGCCCTGTGGGTGGTGGTGGCTGGGGAGTGGGGGCAGTCGCTGGCTGCCAGGAGAAAGTGGATTGTCAGGAAATCGGTGTTACAGCAGCCCCCACGGGAGCAGTGCCCACCTCCTCTGCTCCCAGAAGAGTGATTGCCAGGTCCCCCCAACCCCCCTCAGCACTCAGCCCTTCTCTTGATCCTCAGGACAAGCAGAACGAGGCCAGTTACCTGCGGGACCACAAGGAGGAACTAACGGAGGAGTTGGCCACAACCATCCTGCAGAAGGTGGGTGCAGCCTGGCCGCCTGGGCCTCTGCTTTCCTGCCTGTGCCTGGGCCAGGACATTTTTCTTTTTCAGCTGCGTCCCACATGTGGGAAGCCCAGAGCCTGGAGGCCTTTGCACAGATGTCCCTGTGACGTCCGAATGGCTGTCCTGCACAGCGAGTGGTCCGGCTGAGTGGAAGCGGAAGCCGTCCTGGTGACTGCGTGTCTGGCCCCTCCTCCGCAGGGGGCCACACCCTCGAGGCAGGATTCACGGCCAGACTGCAGGCTGGGACCCCTGAGACCCAGCCACAGCGTGCGTGGGTTGTGTGACCCTGGCTGCTCGCCTCGTCTCTCTGAGCCTATTTGCTCATCTGTAAAATGGGGTGAATTAGGGCATATTTCTCTTAGAAACACTCTGAATGAGGTAAAGCATATACAGTACCAAGCACAGAACCTACTGTATTGTAGGCCTCTGACACAGTTACGCCGAAGACTTGCGCTGAGCCCTCCATGTCTGTGGGCTTGGCATCCCTCAATTGAACCAACTGTAGATCCAAAATATTTGAGGGGCCAGCATTGTGGTACAATGAGTTAAGCTACCTTTTGCAATGCCAGCATCCCAGATGGGATTACCAGTTCAAGTCCTGTCTACTCCACGTGTAATCCAGCTCCCTGCTAATGCACCTGGGAAGGCAGTGGAAGATGACCCAAGTGCTTGGGCTCTTGCATCCACATGGGAGACCCAGATGGAGTTTCAGGCTCCTGACTTGAGCTTGGATCAACCCTGGCTGCTGTGGCCATTTGGGGAATGAGCCAGTATATGGAAGAAATCAATCTCTATCTCTGTCCTCTCTCCCCACTCTGGTCTAATAAATAAATAAGTCTTTAAAAACAGACTTGAAAAAACAATTCTGGAACTTTCCACAAAGCAGACTGTGAATTTGCCACAGGCCAGGCAGGGGGCTGAATCGGTACAGATGAAGCGAGGTGTAAGCTCACCATGCGACAGCCTCTACGGTTCTACAGCTCCTCCGCCTGCCTCCAGCACCTGCTGGCCTGCGGTTCATGCTCTGTGTAGCTGGACCTACGATGCCTGGTCTGTACTGAGCACACACAGACTGTTTTCTGTCACTCTTTGCAGACGGTAGTGGGTGCCGTAAGTAGTCCAGAGAGAGTATAAAGGAAATGGGATGTGGTGCTGAGGCTCTGTGAACATACTGCACCATTATATATAAAAGGGGCGGAGCATCCTCAGAGGTTGGGTTCTGCAAAGGGGTCTTGGAAACCATCCTCATGGACCCCCAGGGATGACTGTATTTGCCAACTGTAAAGAGCTGAAGAATGTTCAAGGCTACCACCGTGCTGTCTCATCGTAAGGCAGCTCGGAGACAGGCTGGCATTCTATGGCAACCAAGCTCCTTGATTAGATTTAAAAAAAAAAGAAAAATCCCAAAAGTAGTCCCAGGTACTTGTCTCTGGGACCCTGTCCACGCAGTTTGTGGAGCCTGGTCCAATAACTTGTCCCGCTCTTTTCACACCCCTGCCCAGATCATTCGAAAGCAGAAGAGCCGAAGTGAGCAGCAGGTGGAAGACGAGCCCCCGAGCTGCAGCCTGCAGGCAGTGGACAGCGGCGGCATGGCCTCCCCAGGAGCCCGCCGAGCTCCCGCCACCCTCTGGGTGAGTCCCCAGCGCATGCTCTGTGCACTTGAAGTTGACCGGTGCCTACTGGATCTTAAAGGACAGAAGGAGAGAATGAATGAATGAATGAATGAATGAGAGTGGGGGGCGGGTGGGTGAGAGAGGAGAGACGGAGACCAAGGAGGCACATAGAGGGGGCTTTTACCCAGGGAGCAAGAAAGGGGAGAATGAAGATGTTGATGTGCGGCATTTTTAATCCATCAGAGGGAATAGCTTCATGAGGGACACGTGCATTCTTACAGTGTAGCTCACCTGCTTTACTCCAAAACAGGAGAGACAGCAAGAAAACCACCATTGGCATCTCAGCCATCAGAATGGCCACATCTGGACATGGTGGGGAGGCCTCAGTGTGGTGCCACCCCTGTTTTTGTCTGGCACTCTAAGATCGACGCCATGGGCACAGTGCTCCCGGAGCTCATACAACCCTTGGCTGCTGGGCCAAGGTAGCCCAGCAGGGGGCGCACAGGGCACATGCAGGACACTGCAGTGATGGGGAGGAGCCAGGTGGAGCAGGGTCAGCCAAACCCTGGGGCGCCCATGGTTAGAGCATAGGGCCTGGACAGGGCAACGCACAGTGTGGTTTAAAACTAGAAAGTCAGAAGTGGAGAAGACAGCAGCAGGAATCATCGTTTTCCCCAAGGCCTCCGGTGGGACTCATCCCAACAGGGGCAGGGTTCACAAACAGCCTGCAAGGTAGCAGGGGCAGTTCCAGAAGTGATTGCCATTCCTCTCCTGCAGGAACTCCCCGCGGCCTCACCGCGCGCCCAGCAGGTGGGGGCAGCGAGGAGTAACTTAGCGCTTTATCAGAGATTTGCCTTTGTCGCTGGATTGGCAGAACTCCCCTTGCCGGCAGGCTGATGGCTTGTGTTACTGCTGCTATTGTGTGTTCAACATCAAAGACAGCAAAATAAACCAAAGACTTGGGTCTCTTCCCTCCAGAACTTTCCATGCCGGTTAGCAAGGCAGGAGGGAAATGCAGTTAATACTGGTGAGAAGGAGAAGCTAGGAGACAGGGCAGAGGTGGGCATCCAGGTGAAAGACGCAGACTGGAAAGGGATTCAGGGTTCAGAGCAGGAGGGTACCCTGCTGGCAGTGAGACGGGGAGGCCCTACCGTCCAGAGCAGAGGTCGGATGCCCTTCAAGTAGCCTGTCACTCAAACTCAGTAACTCACGCCTGCCCTTCCTGGCTTCCACCTGCATGCACCTTGCATTTGGAGAGTATTTCTGAAGTGTTTTCTGCAAAGTCAAAGACTCGCGTTTTGGGGGCTCTGAGAAGTAGAAATCCCAATGGTATCCGCAGACTCAGGAGTGGAGGAGTCAGAGTCAAGTCCAAGGAGCCTGTGCCTGTGCCGCGGCTGGGATGGGATTCTGGGTTTGCTCTTGACCCTGACCACTGGGGTACCAACTCCTTTGCCCAAAGGATTCCTCACACAGGCACCTCCATCTTCGTTGGGCTGCTTTGAGTGGGGGGGGGGGGGCCTGTGGGGGTGCTGTGGAGTTGGGGCTCCCTGCAGAAACAGCAGGCTCCACAGTAGTGTGGAAGTGAGGTGCACATCGACAGGCACACAGAAGCCCCTGGGGCAGAGAGCACCTGCTGGCTTGATTGGGAGGGCAATCTGGGAAGGCTTTCCTAGGAGGTGACGTGAATTCAAGACTGGAAACACAGGAGCTTTGGAGCAGCGGAGGGAAAGCATTTCTGCAGAAGGAACAGTGTACAGGGAGGCTGCGAGCCGGCCCGTTCCGGAAACAGAGCAGCAGCCGTGCGGCTGGAGGCTGAAGGGGAAGGAGAGGTGGAGACAGACCTCTTAGCACATCAGCGGATCCCCCAAGTGGTACCCATTGTTCTCTCTGTGGTCGCGCTATTTCTGCTTCTCAAAATCGAGGTGACTGTGGCACAAGGTGCCCTGTGAGTTAGGAGCTAGACCTCTGTGTGTTTCGGTCGGCTGGCCCAGCGCGACAGCAGCGGCTGTCCCACAGGTTCTGAAACATGGGCTGCCTGCCCCCTATCCAGCCAGCCCACTGCAGGTACACACACACACACACACACACACACACACAGCCAGATAGCATCAGCTTGCTTCTTCCCGCAGTCTCAGCTTGCCCAACTGGACCACCTCTGTCCATTCTCTGCATCTCGGGGCTGCCTTGTTCTTCCCTCCTCAGTGGCCAAGAGCGCCTTTCCTCGCCCTGTCCCACGTCCCCCTGCGCTGAAAGGACCCCTCCTCAGAAACAGACCTTTCTCTGATTGCCTGTTTGCATCCATCCACTGCAGCCCTGCACGGCATCTGAAGTTCTCGTGCAAGTCCCCTGAGATCCACAGACAGGAGAGGAGCGGGTGGGCTGGGGTGGCGTGCGTGTCGTCACAGGGAACTTAAGGAATGCAGGCGGTGCTGGAGGGACCGTGAAACAGCTCAAGGATAGCATCTAGGCTTTGCCTTTACATAAAGCTGATGTGCAAAGGCCCTTCACGCATCCTGATTTGTATGAGAGCACCCTGCGTCTCCCCCATTTCACAGAGAAGCAAAGTGAGGCCCAGCTAGCTTGAGCCACTGGAGCTAAGGGGTTCCCGAACCAGAGCCCGGGTCTCCAGGCTGCAAGCATCTCCTACCCTCAGCTGTCTCCTGTCTCACTGGAGAGCTCTGGCTTTGGAACGCCTGTGTCCTCCCCGATGTCTCCCGAGTCCCCTTGTTGTGCACATGGTTAAAACTAGACAAGGGGCTCCTCCTGCCTGATAAGCTGGAGGTGCTCACGGGAGGTTTGGGATGGTGGGCACTGGTACCCGGAGTCCCAAGGGCAGGCAGAGCGGCGATTACAGGCTATAAACAGCAGGGGGCGCTGCCCAAAGTGGCTCTCCTGCTGGGTTCATCAGCTCTCTGGGATGATCTCTGTGGGTTCTTCACTGGGGAGCCAATCCCAGAGCTTCCCGGGATTCCCATGTGGTTTGCTAAAACAGAAACCTCTCCAGATGTGATTCTCTCGCTAGAAAATCTACCTTGCCTAATCCCCGCCTCCCTTGACTCATGGCTGCTATGTTGACAGTGGTGCAGAGGGAACGTCAGCATTCCTTGGCTTTTTGTTTCTGGAGGAAACAGGAAAGTGTGATTTATTTCTTGGCTTTCAGATAGAAAAAAAGCTACTGGATTCTAACATGCCTTTTGAAGTTCTGATTCCTGGTGCTTTGCGGGCTATGTCCACCTCCTGGGCACTTGTGTCTGCCTGTGTGGGTGGGCAGGAGGAGATACTGGGAGGCCCCATAGAGGACACACTGATGCTCCCCACTGGGAGAGCACCCCTCCTGGCACAACATTGTCACCACCCGGATTGTGTTTCTGGCAGGGACACGGGCACCTTACAGAAAGGACGAGGTCATTGCCCGGCTCCTACCACAACCCCCGACTCTGACTTGGGCATTTGGTCAAGGTCTCCTCCTGTCCTCTCCTTGTATGTGCTTAACATACCATGATCTGCAATATGTAAACAGCACATGTCTGTCAACAATATCAGGTGGGAGGAAGTACATGCTTTATCCCCCTCCAGCCACACTTAAAGTCATGGGGGCTGCCCAAGGCTAAACAACCCAGATCTGGGAATAAAGAGAAGTGCATGATGCACCCAGCTGAGCCACTGCACAATTTGCCCTTGCGAAGCCCGTGATATCAGCACCCCCCTGATCGTCGGTGGTCTTGTTTGTTCTGGCTTTGCTGTAGCTCACTGCTGAGTATGTGGTGGGCATTCGGGCATGGACAGCTGGATCTGGGTCCAAGGTCAGCTGGCAGGTGGATGCAGGCAAGCCCTGGACGTGAAAGCTTCCAGTCTGGCTCCTGGAGTACCTGTGATGGGAACAGAAGCGGAGAGAAGCTTGTTGACCAAAGTCCCAGCGAGAGCTCTGGGACCCGCCCCCTTGGAAGTGACCGGGTTTACCTTTTGGTAAAGAGCTGTGATTAGGGCTTTGTAAAAACACCCAGACACAGGCCGTTAGCCTAACAGGCAAAACCCAGTGCAAGGCGTCCGTGTTCCACGTTGAAGGACCAATGAGACGGACGGGCCCTGGCCAAGGCTGCCCTGTGGCATGGCTCCAGGAGCAGTACCCATACAGAATACAATGTGAGTCACGGCGCCACGTCTGTACAGCCTTGTGCCTGTGGCTCTAGCTGCCGCCGAGGTCCATGTGCAAAGGGGCTGGGAGTGACCACTGATTAAGGAACAGGCACTCTGCTTGCCTACTGCATGTTGTGTATTTTCCTCCTCATCACAACATGGAGACACAGGTATTGACCCATTTTACAGATGAGAAAATTGAGGCCACAGATTTGCGTATCATTTTTCTGCCCCAAAGCCCGTGACTTAGCATTTTCCTCTGTAAAATGAGATTCACAGGCTCAGTATCCAAGGCCCCCGTTGAGCTCAGAGATTCTAGGGCTGTGCTGCCCAAATGACTGTATTTAAATTGAAGCCGGTTGCAACTGGATACATTGAAATCCCAGCTCTTTGGTTGCTGTGGCCACATTTCAGGTGCTCATGAGCACCCGTGCCTGGTGGCCCATGCTGAATGGTGCAGATGCAGGCTGTTTGCATCGCCGTGGGGATTTGTATCATGCAGCACTGGCTCTGGGGATGTAGATAAAGAAGAGACAAACAGCACACATGAGAGCAGAGACCCACAGGGACGCTGGGCGGAGCCGGGACATGGAGCAATGACCTCTTCTAGGATCACAGGGCTTCCTGACCTGCAGATGGTGACAGGTCACCTCCTGGTGGGGCCCCCTCTGTCTTCAGGTCTCCAATAGCTGGGGCATGTCTGGCTCAGGGCATCACAGAAGAATCCCAAATGCTGATGGTGTTGCCGCATGGGCTTAGCTGCAACACCCAGAGGTCCGTCCCCTCTCCCGTGGGGTTTCGCACCTGTGCTCTTGAAAGACCGTTCATTCCCCTTCCAGGTCCCTGCTGCATCGTGTGGCTCTTGGCATGGAATATTCTAGAAGGCTCCAGCATAGGGGGTCTAAAATATGTAAAAATGGGGACCACAGTCATCTGGTGATCCTGTTGGTGACAAAGGTGATGACAGCAGGACCAGACGGCTCTTACGTGCCTGATGACGCACTGACTCCGGCTGACTCTCCGTCGCCCATCTCCCAGCTCTGTCTGCCTGCCTCAGCCTTTTGTGTCTCTGTCACTTCCTCCCTCACGTCCATTCTCTCCTTTGAAAGGCTGCTGTACTTTTTATTATTGGCCTAATTACAAGGTTGGTTTTAATGCCTGCGTCTGACCTTAAAAATACAAAGCGAAGCATGCCTCAGTCACATCAATGCCATGACCGCTCTTATCCCTTTGCTCTCCAGTCCTTGATACTAAAACATTCTCTCTCTCTCTCTGTTTCCTGCTGGGGGCTCTCTGGGAGCAAAGACCTGTGAAGCCACAGCCAGTGCCTGTAGGAGTGATGCTAATCACAGCACTCAAAGCCACAGTGCTTCCTTCCTGGAAGTGTGGGTAGAACACGGGACTGCTGCCCAGGGATGGACCGAGGGAACTCGCGAACACAGTGGATGTCTCGCCCAGAGCCTCGGAGAGTGGGCTGGAGCGTGTGAACCAGAAACGCCTTGTTCCTGGCTTTCAGAAAAGGCTAGCAGGCACGCGCCAGCATCACCCGGGAGCCATGCGGACTGATGCTGAGCCCCTGTCTCTGCCCTTGAGCAGCCCTGACTCAGTTTACCCATGTGCACCCAATCAGATTGAGTGGGAGACTGGATTGGTTTCCCTGGCTCGGTGGTAGGCTGAACAAATGATCTTATTTGGGCTAATATTTATTAAATGCTTCATGATAATGATCCCTGAACACGAGAAAGGTGAGGCTTAGAACACTGATGTTTTTCCGAGATCCGAACGGCCCACTGAAGAGCTAACATCTGTCACTTGCTAGTCGGTGCCTGATGAGCAAAGACAAGGTGTCTCTCTCCCTCTCTCTCTCTCTCTGTCTCTCTGTTTGCCTCTCTCTCCCTCCCGGAAGCTGAAATTCACAAGTCCCTCTTTGCAAGACTACTGGACCCGAGGGCTCCCCCCAACCACTGCCAGTCCCCATAGCAGAGATGTGTGACTCTGGCCAGCAACCCCAAAGCTACACCAGCCCTGATTCCATCATGGACCCTAGGGTGGGTAGGAAGGGAAGAAAAGTGGAGGCTGTGGGTGAGAAAGGGTGAGCACAGAGGGCTCAGCAGGAATACTGAGAAAATAAATTACCGAGTGACCCCATCACTGCCCAGGAGATGGAGCCAGCTGGTGAGTAAAAGCCTTGCTGTGGCGCCACCTTCTGGACCACGCATTCATTGCAGTAAATTTGTGCCAGAAACCAGATCCAAATCGGAGCCACTTGAGGGGAGTGTTAGCTTGACCTCCTGCACATAGAACCTTGCTCTCCAGGATGTAAGTGGGGACAGCAGCAGGCTTCTGTTTTTTTGTCTCTTACACCCCAGTTTTATCTAAGTTGTCATTGAAAACAAAATGGCATGTCTACAGCCATCACCAGGTCCCACTCGTGACATCACAGGCGTTCCTTGCTTTCCAGTTCTGTGCTGGTTACTGCTCCTGGGGCTTGGGATGGTCCTGTTACAGGACAGCTGCCTTTGGTTGCTCCAGGGTGTCATGGATCAGGCCCGAGAGCAGGCGTTGGATATCAAGTGCTGTCAAGCCCAAACAAACACAGAGGAAGCCAGGACCCCCAGCCCAGCTAATATTTATTAAATATCAATATATTAATATTTAATATTATTAATATCAAATATTAAATATCAGTGGGTTTCCCATGGGCCACAGCCAGCTTGCAGTGGATCTTAGCAACATGGAGTCTGGGGGATGACTCATCTGCCATATGGCTGCATTAACCTGTGATTTGTGTATTGAATGTCAGGGGTGCAGGCCCATCCTGCTGTCTCTTCTCCATTCAGAGAATGGCAAGGACAGTCGAGAACCCTGGCACACGGCGTAGAGGGCTCCATATTTGTTCTGTTGACCTATTTGCTTCCTGGATAATCCCAAGATCTTGGAAACAGACATGGAGATTTCCTATCATGTTCTGAACCTGTGTGAGGGCCCCTGGGCTCCTCCCAGGCCTGCAGTGCTGCGAGTGCTGGACTTAGGTCATCATCTATCTCCGTGTGCTTTTTCTCAGCCTTCTTCAGAACCCAGAGCAGGAAGGGTCATGGAGTACCTGGTTCTCACAAAGCTCATTGCTGTCACCAAATACATTTGGGCCAGAATTTGCTGTCTTTGCTATTCTCAAACACCTTTTCTGCTCTATGCTACCCCTTATCATGTGGTTTCCTGCGAGCGAAGAGCAAAGTTAAGTTTCCAGACCACAAGGAATTAAGTCACTTGGCCAAGTTATCATAGCAGGGCTGGTGTCAGAGCCCAGACGTGGCAAATTTCTGTTCAGCTGCAAACCCCTCACAACCCTCCAGAGCTCTCCTTTTATCTCCTAAGCACGTGTGGGAGCAGGGGAGGACAGTAGGGAATGTGACACGTTTCTTGCTTGGGATAGCAAGGAGTGGGGCGGTTGGCACCGATGTCAGCCAGCAGGGGGAGCCAGACTGCTTAGGGAGCCTGAGTTCTACTTTGTTGTAAGTAGGTTCTTTGCCTGTGAATTTCATTGACAGAGCAAAATGGGGACAGACATTTGGAAGAGCAGCAACGATGCCAGTTGGGACACCCACATCTTAGATGGGAATGCCTGCCCCTGCTCTGGGTCCTGACTCCAGCTTTCTGCTCATGAGCCCCCTGGGAAGCAGCAGGTGCTAGGTCAAGTATTTAGTTAGGGCTGTGCAACTCATAGAATGCTGCAAACAGTGCAGGCATTGGGAGAGTGAGCCAGTGGATGAGATTGAGCGCTCTCTCTCTCTCTCTCTCGCTTGTTCTCTTTTGCTCTCTCTCACTCTCTCGCTTTCTCTCTCTATGTCAAATAACAATAATAAATAAAAGAAGCCATGTGACAGTTGGGCTGTGGTGGCTCCACTGCACCCTCCCCCCCTTAAAGATTTATTTATTTACTTGAGAGGAAGAGTTACAGACAGAGGGAGAGACAGAGAGGTCTTCCATCCGCTGGTTCACTCCCCAGATAGCTGTAACAGCCACAGCTGGGCTGATCTGAGGTCAAGAACCAGGAGCTTTTTCAGATCTCCCATGCAGCTATAGGGACCCAAGCACTGTGCCATCTTCTACTGCTTTCCCAGGCCATCAGCAGAGAGCTGGGTTGGAAGTGGAACAGCCAGGACTCGAATGGGTGCTCATAAGAGATGCCGACACTCCGGCAGATGCTTAACCTAGGCCACAGCGCTGGCTCTGTGCACTGCATGTCTTAGACTTCTGGAAGGCCTAGCCAGCTTGCAGCAGAATGGACAGGGAATCCTCCATATATGTGTGACATGGTGTTATGTTCTGAAAAACCAATACCATCAAACGCATTCCCTGCGTGCTGTCCACATGCACGCCCAGAGGCTGAAGGTGTTCATCCTAGGAAGAGTGCCTGATGAGTGCCCCTGTCCCCTCTTCTCTTCCCACAGCGGTCCCAGTCTGCCTTCTCCATCACCGGAGACGAGGCCCTGAAGACTTCCTCCCTGGAGACTGTGTCGCGGAAGAAGCTGCGGGCCCGGGGCCAGCACGCAAGGGACGAGTCGGCTCTGCCCAGCTGGAAGAGCGTGGACAGGCTGGATGACTCTAGTAATGGTTTTAAGCTGTTTGTGGTTGGGCTGTGGGCTTCCCCAGCGCTGTCCTAGAGCCTCGGGGCTGTTGTGCGGCCGCACTGCTCTTGGTGGGCGCTCACTGCGGGCAGTTAAGTCACTGAGTCGCGAAGCCTCCAGCAGACACATGACGTATGGCGTGGTCATGCTCTCCTAGCTGCAGGGGCAGAATGAGGGCTCTTGATGTGTCGCTGGCACCCTGTGTTCTTTACTGAGACCTGTGGGGTCAGGGTCAGGGTCAGGGAGCTCCCAGCATGCTGCTGCGTGTCCCCTCATGAGATGCCTGCTGTGGGGGCACCAGGAGAATGAATCCTGTGTAGGTCAAGGGCACTAAAGCAGCCAAGGAGGTACTTTAGCTTTCAAAGGGACTTGGGTCCCAACAGCAGCCTCGTTTTAAAGGTGTCTTTTCTGGAGCTGGGTCTATTAGGGCAATGCATGCTCCTCTAACAGCTCAGCCGAACGTTCTACTGGCCAGATGCAATAGTTATCTTTCTCACCACCCAGCAGTGCAGAGTAGGTGTCCCTGGCCCGTGGCTGGCCTGCAGAGACCAACACTCGTACCTGGGGACTCTGCTGTCCCCCAGGACCCTGAGTCTTCTGCTGGGTCACCCAGGTTGGGCCATCAGATGGAGACAGAGGGGAGTGAAGGTCCCGGCATGCCTGCTTCCCGGCCCCTTCCACACCTCCTGCGTAATGGAAGCCAGGCACACTCAGCACCCATGAGGAAGCTGGTGATGGGGTTCTTATCTCCTGTTCCTCATCAATTCCAGACGTCTTTCCTGAACAACAAGAAAGGTTAACAGCGAGACAGCCGTCCTAGAGACAAACTTCCAAGACCTTGCTGTCGTTTCAACTCTGTAAGGGAGAAGGTTTACCTGCGACGTGAATGAGACCCACTGTTGGCAAGGTGCAATCAGAAGGGAGTCAGCATTTTTAAACTGACCTGCTAAAGATCCAAAAGAGACCGTGGCCGTGCAGACCTCTTAGGAGAAACTGCAGGAGCACAGCGGTGCAAGGGTTGGGTAGCACACAGCGTGCGTTGTGTTTGTGCTGCTGACATGCGTTTTTCCTTTCTGGATGGGCCTCTCTCTGCTGCTCTACCCAGTGCATTCCGGTTCCTTCATGCGTTCTGATTCTCCCTCCTTTCCTGTAGTTAGCAAATTCCCACAGAGAAATAGCGCTGAGGTTCCACAGGGCATATATTGTAGAGTAGATCTCCAATAAACCATAATGACTGGTTTTTTAAGAATCACTTTCCAATGTGCAGTAACTCCTTTATTTATTCTTCCAATGGCATTGGCAAAAACTGTCCTTGACCTTGCTCGGAATAGAAGCGTGTTGATGGACAGGGAGGTCCGGTGACTTGTCCAGGACTCCAGGGCTAACATGAACAGAGCTGATCCTCACACCCAAACGACCCAACACCAACATGCAGACGTTTTCGACCACTGCATGACCAGTGTCTCCCCACTATAAAAATAAACAGAAGCCAGCACATCAGAGTTCAGGCTTACAAAGTGATAGATTCATAGGACATGATGGAGAACTTTGCCAAGATACTCCATTTTACAAAATAGCTCCCCAGCAAAATTGCGATTATTTCTAGTGAACGTGCAAAGGCCTTGGGTTTTCAAAGCCTGCTTTTGTGCACCCTTATAGGATTTGTGCATCGTGCACAACAGGATTTCATACCCTGCTCAGAAATCCATCCATCTCTACGGGTGACGCTGTAAAATCTACTTGGCGTAGAACACTTCCGCTGTTTCTAGGTACTGTTGAGCCCCCGGCCTGCTCATCTCCATGCCAACCACAGAGGTCTGCAGGGTTGTGTGACATGTTTAGCAGGAAGCAAATTACTCCCAGAGGCAAGGCTCAGTGTGCACAGAGCAGAAATGTAGAACAGAGGAGGCCCAGGGGGTGGGACGGCCACTGGGCTATTTTTAGCAGCTGTGTTGATGCTGCAGGAAATGGGTTGGTTCAGGAGCCTGTTCGTGCACTGTCGGGGTCAGCCGTAGGGGCGCTTTGGTTTGCGTCAGCCAGAGCACTGCTTATAGCAGTGAATGCACATTCTTTTATTTTATTTTATTTTATTATTTTTTTTTTTGACAGGCAGAGTTAGACAGTGAGAGAGAGAGAGAGACAGAGAGAAAGGTTTTCCTTCCGTTGGTTCACCCCCCAAGTGGCCGCCATGGCCGGTGCGTTGCAGCCGGCGTGCTGCACCGATCCAAAGCCAGGAGCCAGGTGCTTTGCCTGGTCTCCCATGTGGGTGCAGGGGCCCAAGCACTTGGTCTGTCCTCCACTGCACTCCCTGGCCACAGCAGAGAGCTGGCCTGGAAGAGGAGCAACCGGGACAGAATCCGGCGTCCCAATCGGGACCAGAACCTGGTGTGCCGGCACCGCAGGCGGAGGATTAGCCTAGTGAGCCGAGGCGCTGGCAATGAACGCACGTTCTTTTTATGGGACTTGACTGAGCACCTGCTGTATATGAAGGCGTGTGCTCAGTGCTGGGGGAATTGTCACTGCTTTTGGGTAGCTTACTCTAAGTTGTCTGCACGATAATGAAAAAGCAGGAGTGTGGCTAAGTGGGGTGTTGGGGGCAGTAGGGTCCCCGAGGGGTGTTCCCAGTGGCCTGAGAGAAATGATACCGGGAACCAAGTGCAACGTAGAGCAGTTCTGACGATGCAGCTTGACAAAGACCAGGGTTTCATAAGGTCCTTCCTTTAGAAGGAGAGGTTTTTGCTGAGCTCGTAGCTGGGCAGCTTCTAGCTTCCCTGAAGGCTTGTAGCATCCTGGGGGGTGTAAAAGGCAGGAGAGTTGCTAGCCGAGAGCTGGATCCTCTCCAACCGCGGCGCGGCTGTTGGAGTCCAGGGACCTCAGTCCTGGGCCAGGCACTGAGGGCATCACCAGGGCCTTTCCAAATATGTGGCCTTGTCCCATGGCCCTGGGAGAAGCTGTAGAAGCACTGAGAGCTGCCCAGTGGTTGAGAGGGTTCCCACCCAGTCCTCTGACGTCAAGACGCACAGTCTTTCCCTTGCACAAACCAGCTCTGGGACCAAACAGGCGACTTTGCTTCGAGAGACAAATCGAGGCCCGAGGTCCAGGCTCTCTCAGCTGCCTCGGCTGTGTGCCTGGTCAACCAGCACCCAACGAGGATCTCAGGGTGAGCTTGTGAAGAGGAGGCCACATCTGGACAGGGAGAGAGTGCACTCTGGGAGAAGGGGGCAGTGGGATGAGGGGTTTGAGGCAGCCTTGGGTGGGGAGGGGGATACTGACAGCAGGAACAGCAGAGATGCTGGGCACGTGGCCTCCGGCTTCCAGATGGCCCCTGCTATCAGCAGCCCACCCCTGGGACCCTGCCCCCTCCTGGATGCAGGAAAGCCCCACTCCTGCCTCGCAAAGGAAAGGGAACCTGATGTCCCGCCCGTCTGAGCTGTAGCCAGGCCACTGAAGTGGAAGTGGGTCGCTGAGCTGAAAACAGCTGTTCCGCCAGAGCCGTTGCTCTGAAACAGGCCTGGCAAGCTCGCTGCCCTGAGGGCGACACCGCGCACGCCAGCACGTGCATTCCAGTCTGCGGGGCAGTCGTAGTTGAAGGGGAGGGAGAACCTGTGTGTTTGAAGTAGCAGGAAGTAGGCACAGCCTCAAGGTCCCTACTGCAGCACAGCTGTGGCCCTGGTGAGCCTCAGGTCCAGAAGCTGCCGTCACAGGTTGAGGGCCGTCCCCTCCAAGCCCCAGGGGCCCTCACCACCCTCCTCCAGGCATCCCCGCACAGATCCTGATGAAAGACAGCATCAGCTGGCCTCTGATGTGCCCGGGGCCACACAAGCACCATGTCCTCTTACTCTGTCGTCAGAGCCTTGTCCCGTTTGCCTTTAGCAAAAACAACACACAGCAGCTCCTCCCCGCCCCCACCTCTCTGGATGCAGAGGCCCTGGGCAGCCCCAAGCTGGACCAGACCATCCGGGATGGCTCTGGGAGCTCTTGCACGGTGCTTCATACCTCAAGGCCTCCCTTGGCCTAGGCTGTGAGCTGGTATCGGATGGAAGGTGCACCTGTCCCCGTGCTGCCCGTGACTGCCCTGCGCCCTCCAGCAGGCCGCTCAGCCCCGCTCCTCTGTCTTTCTCTGGCTACTTTTCCTTTCCAGAAAGAACAAGGCAGTGCCTCCAGTTCACGGCAGGCCTGTGTGTCCACCTCACAAGGCTGCTGTGAGACCAGTGAAAGCCCTAGGGTGGATGTGCAGACCGGTGACATGTGCCAGGGCAGGTGGTGGGCTTAACGATCCATCAAGAGGATCCCAGAGACAAAACCATGATCCATGATTAAAGAGCCGTAAGCTGGGTCTGCCAAGGGGAGTCCTGTCCTCTCCCATCCCAAACCAGCCTAGGGCAGGAGTGGGGCCATTCTGAGCACCAAGGCGGCCACCTACCCTGGTGGAGGTGCTACAGGAACAAATCTGAGAGTCTGTCGCCAACAGTGAGGCCTCAAGGACTTCTTAGAATTGCAGGGCAGAGGTGAAAGGTCCCTGTCCCCCCAGCCCCTCTGTGAGCCAGTCCTGGGAGGTGACAGGTACAGACCTCACTTCGCGCTAAGGTGATGACAGCCTCTCTTTCCTCTCTTCCCTTCCACAGCCCTGGCCCCGGTTCTGCAGAGCCCCGATGGGAACTGGGTAGCAGTAAAGGATGGCACTCTGCCCCCCATCCGCCTGCTGGCCAAGCCCAAGAGTGGGACATTTCAAGCCCTGGAGGTAGCCTCCAGTGTGACGTCTGCCTATGACGAGATGGGCTCCGACAGCGAGGAGGAATTTGACTGGGGCGAAGCCCTGAGCAAGCTGTGTCCGCGGCCCCGGGGCCGGCCCAGGAACCCCCAGGCTCAGGGCTCTGCCGGCCCCTCAGCTGCCTCGCCCTGCTCCAGGATGTCCCCCAACCCCGAGACCATGTGCTCTGACTCCGAGACCTCCTCGGCGGGCTCTTACCGGGAAGCAGCGTGCCGGGCCAGGCTGTCCTGGCTGCAGAGGAAGGCTCCCAGAAACCCGGAAGCTGAGAAGATGCGCCTCCAGGGAGAGCTGGATGTGAACTTCAACCCCCAGGTGGCCAGTGGGGAGACCTCAGACAGCAGCGAGCCGGAGGAGGCCTCTCAAGCCGCAGACCGGTGGACCAGGAGGTGGAGAAGGGTGCGCATGGGCTCAGAGGACCTAAGCAAAGAACCGCCCTCCCCCAGCGCCCACACCCAGGATCTGCATGCACACCAGGTAACAGAACTGTGCGTGCGCTCATGCACACAGACTTCTCAAGTAGGCTCTGTTCTCTTGAATGCACAGGTGACAGAGTCCTAGTGTTGGTTTTGTGGCTGCGTGATCCTGGTGTTGTGTAACTCGGGACTCAGCCAGTGTCAGTCAGCATAACGCAAGGATGTGTTTCCAATACTCTGCGACTCTTATCCATGACACACTCCATGCCTTCTGGGCACCCCGGCTCTTCCCACGTGGCCTAGTTGATGACCCCCTGTTGTAAACGTGGTTGAAGCCGTGAACTCTCCTTAGAAAAGTGCACCTGCATACTCTCAGCTCGCCACGTGTGTGTGTTTGTTGCTTAGTGTTTCTCATGGCCCAGGGACTCGCAGCACAGGAGCCGCATGTGCCCTCCTGCACTCTGCTCATTCCCAGCTCTGTGCCTTTGCTTGCGCTGGGCTCCAGCCATGGCCTCTTGAGCTGAAGGCCTGCGTGTCTCTGTGGGGACCCAGTACCAGCTATGGTGGAGCCATCTCTGACCTCCTCAAAGCAGCGTTTGTCAAGTAAAAGTGACACATGCATATGGCCCGGGTAGGCTTAGTGGTTCCTTAGAAGTGGAGGATTTTTTGCAGCATTTGAAACTGATATTTTCTCATGGGAAATCTAGGTAGGTTCAGAGTTGTCGATGACTTTACTGTCTATTTGACTTGTTATGCTCCGGGGCGGGGCGGGGTTGGGGGGAGGACCACTCCACTTCCTGAACGTTGCCATAGCTCCCATGATCCCCACCACCATGCCCTGCATTGCCCATTAAAATCCCCGTCAGTCAAAGGCAAGCCCTGAGTCCAGGGAACACATTGGCACAGCTTCTATGTGACTCACTTGCTGGGATAGAATGCCAGGTCTCCGCCACAAATACACGTCTAACACTGGCTGTTATTCAGCAGTGACTTGAAAGTCATCCTCAACTTTGCGCAACTTTGCAAGGCGTCCTTAAAGAGCAAGTGTGGGCCAGCAGAAAGGTGCCAGACCCAGCGACCTCTGCCTCCTTGGGAGCAACCTTGAACCTGTGGCAGTGTCCTCTTCTCCCCACTAGGTGGCGATGGTGCCGAGTTCCCGAAGACAGCTAGACTTGGGCCTTGGCCTTCTCCCTTTGAGTTAGTTTTCTAGGGCAGCTCTCTGATTTGATAAATGATACCGTCGTGTCATTGTGGAAGCCTCTTTGTCCAAGAATTGAATTGCTGTGGTGAGGCACGTATGGGTCTTTAATGTTGCAGTCTGCATATGCCCAGCCTCGGGGCAGTGTCCGCGGAGGGGGCAGTGTGTGTCCTCACGCGCCCCACAGTGGTGGGGCCGGTCTGTTCACCTGTTGCCAATTTTATGTGAGAAAAAGTGAACATTTTCAGAATTACTGCTGAAATGGAGCATTTTTTTCTGTGTTTAAGACTACTAGGATTTTTCTTCTATAAAAGGCACATTTATATATTGTAATTATTGTTGTATTGGACTGTATGTCTTTTTCTTAATGATTTTTAGAAATTGGGTTTGTTTTCTAATTATTATAAATTTTAGATCTTTGATGTTTACTAATGAAATTATTCTCTCCCTGTCCATCACCTTCACCTTAATTTTAGGTTTATTTTACAAACATTCTTCTTAATAATATTCCAATTATTTTTCATTAGTAATATTTGATTCATTGTTTCTTTTATAATTTTTGTAGTTTGTGCCTTGGTTTAAAAGGCCTTAAGTCCTCAAAGTTAAAAGAATTTTTCTCAATTTTTTCCTAATTCTTTGCAGCTTTGTATTTTCCACTTAGCGCTTTTGTACATCTATTCTTCTCTGAATAATACAGGGTAAGATAAAACTTTTTTTTTTTTAAATCAAGTATTTGTCACCAAATCGTTGTTAAGTGACCCAGCATTTATCTGCTGGTCTCGGATTCACCCCTTAATGCACAGTAACCTTGTGTTTGCATGGGTCTGTTTGTTTTCTCTTTCTGTTCAAGCATCCCCTTCTATGAAACTGCTTTAGTTGTGTCATCACACTCTGTAAACACCTTGGATGTTCTTCCTTTCCCTGGTGGTGTTTTTGCGGATGATGATATCTTCTAAAACTGCCCTGGTTTTTCGCAGTCTTTTACTCATATAAATGGCTTTTCGGAATATGTCCTTCAAGTTGCAAAAAAATTAGTTTTAAGCATCCATTAGAAATGCACTATGATTTTGGGGGTCATTCATTTATAATACAGAGCCTTCGCAGACAAGAATGCTGTCCTTGCTGAATATTTTGACTTGCAGTAAGGTTTTATAGATTTTGCGAAGCTCTTGTCTTATTATGTAATTTTTAATTATCTTGCATATTTTATTGGTATTGAAAATAAGATTTTAAAAACTACTACATGTTCTAATTGGGATTCACTATTGTAAAGAACACAGTTGATTTTAGGTTTATGTGTTGTAACTCGGTACCCTAGTAGGTTGTCTTGCTATCAGCTGATTTTCTTAGCTATTCTGTCGTATTGTCTACAAGTAATGACGCACTCATCCTTTCCTGTCCCTTACTTACACTGACTTTTTCTTGACTTGGCCACACTTGCATGATGCTGTGAAATGGTAGTGACAAGTGCTGTCCTAACTTTTTCTTGCTGCTTTTCCTAGCTCCCCGAACTAAGTCAGAAACAGCTTTATTTTCTCAACCGTCTTCTGGCATTTACTGAATTATCCTAGCTTTTCTTCTGTCCATTCGTGTTGTAAGTCACATGAATGCATTTCTTAATTTTGAATCACCTTTTCCTTTGTGGCCTAAATTCTGCTTGACTGTGACTTCTTTCTGTTAACACTGGATTCCTTTGCCTGGTTTCCATTTTAAGCTATTTAGTTCAGATTCATATTAGGTTATCCTAAGGATTCGGCAAGGATTCTCTGTATTACTTTCTAGAATACCATCTCTTCGGGAACTCATCCTAGGAGATTAACAGGTGCCCCTCCACCACTGCACCCCATCTAGATGCTCCACCTCCCTAGCCATGATTGACAGATAAAGCTGTAGAAGTCCTTTTCCGCATTCTACCGTTGGTCCTGGCTTCAAATTCTACTTAACACAGAGCTGTGTCCACATTGCACCTCTATGCAGTCTGTAATCACAAACCACTGAACACGCTCTGTTCTCCAAATGCCCACAGAGAAGATGAAATCCAGGGGGAGAGAACGCTCTCGTTGCAACGCCATGCAGTAGATACTTCATTGCTCTTTGTGCTTCAATGTTGAAGAGAAACTAATTTTTCTTATTTATATATTTTTCTGTTGTCCTGCATATTTGCTGGATTTGTTATAGACTTAAACAGCGTAGTGGGTGTTTGCTCACTTTTTGCTATTGGATGTGATAATATGAGTGCCTTCTTGCTCACTGAAGCATTTTTTCAATTCAGGATAGTTGTCTTCTGTCATTTTGATTATTGTTTCTGTCACATGACCCATAATGTATGAGAGCACTTCAGAAAGTTTGTAAAAATTGGATGAAAGGAGTTTATTTTGGTGCGATAAATAAATTAAGTCCAAGCATAGGGTATTTTTCATATACACGTTTTCCTTGAACTTTTTTCAGTTTTTAAAAATTTGCTTTTAATAGATTCATTATAGTTCATAGATACAGTTCTAAGAATATGATATTCCCTCCCTCCCTCCAACCCTCCCTCCCTCTCTCTGCCTTTTTTTCTTGAGTTTTTGAGATCACATTTTTTTCAATTTACATTACATTTAAAAAGGTGTTTTTTTGCTTCCTCAAATCAGAAATTCAACAAGTAAAAAGCAAAAAGCCTAGTTTAGTGGAAATATGGGAAATGGCTATAAGCAATAGCTGAATGGAAAAATGAACAAATTACCCATATACAGTAAATTTTAAAGTAATCATACATCATTAAACTATAGTCATACAGCATTCTTAGCTATTGGTTTGACAAAGATTTGAAACAGATTCTGTAAAACTACATTTTCAGGAATGCTGGCACACACGGGCATTGATTTGCTTCATTTTTGTTTTTTTTTAATTTTATCTCCCACATATAAGGGATATATTGTCTCTGTGTCTGGCTTATTTCACTCAACATGATATCCTCCAGTTGCATCCATTTTGATACAGATGATAGAATTTCATTCATCTGATGTCTGAATAATATTCCAGTATGTAAGTATATATGCCTCATTTTCTTTATCCATTCATCAGATGATGGACACCTTGGTGGATTCCAACTTTTGGCTGTTGTGAGCAGTGCTGCCGTAAACGTGGTGGTGCAGGTGTCTCTTTGATACAACATGTGTGTGTCTTTTGGGAATATACCCAGCAGTGGGATTGCTGGATGATGTGGAAAAGTTGATTTCTAGTTTTATGAGAAACCTCCACTCTGTTTTCCACAGTGGCTGCGCTAACTTGCCTACCCCCTAGCCCTGTGTAAGCGTTCCCCTTTGTCCACATCCTCATCAGCGTTCATTAATCTCTGTCTTTTGGATTGTAGCCGTGAAGACAGGGGTGAGGTGATACCTCATTGTGGTTTGATTTGTATTTCCCTGGTGGCTGGTGATGTTGAACATTTGTTCGTACATTCATCGGCCATTTGTGTTTCTTCTTTTGAGAACTGTCTGTTGAAGTCCTTTGCCCATTTCTCCACTGGACTGGTTGTTTTTATGTTGAGTTTTTGAGTTGCCAATAGATTCTGAATATTAATTCTTTGTCATGTGGCTCACAAATGGGTGTCTGTTTGCTCTACTGATCATCTCCTTTGCTGTGCAGATGTTTCTGAGTTTGTTACAATCTCATGGTTTAGTTTTGCTCTCGTTGCCTGTGCTTTGGGGATTTGTCCAAGAAGGCGTCCCCTACAGCAGTGTCTTGGCCTGTTTCTCCTGCATTTTCTTCCAGCAACGTCCTAGTCTCTGGTCTTACACGAGAGTTGATTTTTGTATATGGTGAGAGATATGAATCTAATTTCATTCTTCTGTATATATACCTCCAGTTTTGCCAGCGCC